CATAACCACATATACCTTGACGGTATATGCGTAGAGAAAACGCATCGCGAAAATAGAGCTTTCATTGGCTCAGCCCAAGGCCATGTAAACAAATCCAATGGGCGCGCTTTATGCGTGCCTTGTGTGACCTTGAATGTCCGGTAACGAGTTTAAAGGAGGTGCACGGAAATTACGGTGCGTCTGTACACAATAAAACGGAAACAAACTTAGTTAAAAATACTGCTTTCATTTAAATTACGGTTATGCGCAGTCACTGCTGTTAGGGCTGATTCTAAAATTCGAATTTGGCATCTGTTGACGTATCGGGATTAGCCAAAGCAGCTTAGAATTTCGCAGTTAGCTACAATTCATCATGTTTTCACTACTTCCAATGCAATTTATTTCAAAACAGTAAATTTATCACTTACAATCAGCATTTTTGGGATAGACGATAATTTTAGAAATGACAAAGATAGAATTTACAAATAAAATGTCTCCAGATTCCAATGCAAGGCCTAATACGAGAGAACAAATAACTCACTAATTTGGTAATTAATTTTTTTGTGTTTAAATAGTCTAATGACTAGAGGCATTGTGTGCTTGAAAGCACATACGGTGTGCTATTTCCCGGAGGGTTTACGGTAGTAGGTCAAATTGGGGTCAACATAAAGGAAGAAAATTTTGCAAAAATGCGACTTCAGCCGACTTGTCCAATCCACACGTTAAGCCTTTTTTCGAAACAAACAATGATTCTTATTTTCAGGTAGAATTGGTGAAAATAAAAAAAGAATCGCAGTGAAATAAACTCAAATTGGGGGAATTTAGCACGTGTGTTTGCAATATTTGAACCAATCAAAATGAAGCACCTTTCATCAGGTTCTTATTGGCTCTCAGTCAACCATTTAGCTGCGCCCATTTGTGCCCTGGAGAGGTTAATATTTGATTCTCTATTTGATGTATCGATCGCTACAAGTGTTCTCTTGATCTAAACAAGCTAATCGACCAATCGTAAATTCGATGTACTCGCTGAATCGAACAAAATCAATCCGAACAAACGAAAATTAAGAGATTGTAGCGTGTCATCTTGGGAAAACGGACTGATTTTTTTTTCAAGTCGAGGGCAGTTTAGTGCCCATTCGAGTTCATTGAGCGGCATGAATTCACCATAAATCTTTGAATTCCTCATGTATTGCGTAGTGCTGTACGTGGGAACACAAACTCTAAACCATGGCTAGTAAGTAAGCAAGAAAGGCGCGGTGCATACTTTCGATTTACGTCCAATAACCCGGTTGTTGCAGCCTCACACACACGTACCCCTTTTCACGGTGCGCTAGTCAGTCATTTCGACCGCCTGCTCATTCACCCCTCTATACGTGCCACCACCACCACCCCATTTATGCATGTGGTGTCTGGAGTCTTACTAATGCACTCAACTGTCAACAAAAACAGTACACGCAGACAACAACACCGTCGTGCCTCGTTCTCTAAACGACATTCATTTTTTTTCATCTGAGTGGACCCGATATGCCACATTAAAGTTGACGATAATTCGTCGACTTTCTCTGCCAGTTCCACAAATTCATTTCAACTAAAACACGCGTATTTCTTTTCGACAATCCTAAAATGCGCTCATTGAGAGCCTCACGTGACTGCCGACCAATCAGATACAGTGGTGCTAAATCAGGAATAACTGAGCAGATCGGACAGTCGATAGTTGATGGCGAATTGAAGCCTTGAGGGTAAACACAAAAATCAAGGAATTATCTACCACGCATCAAGATACCCAAGGTCAAATTGCCATTGTCAAGCCCTCAGACCTTTGTTCACATGTGCTAACTGGAGTCCAGAAGGTATAAAATGAGTTCATTTTGTCATCAACCATTTTCTACCTAGTTTTTTGTGACTTGTCAAGGTCGAACTCTTGCAAGTGAACCTGTTGTGAATCGCGATTATTAACACTCGTTAATCCAATCACTCCAGCCTCTTTTCGCAGCATGTCGCTAGCCGCGCGGATCCTCAACTCTCTCCCTCATTCCCACGAATATTTATCTTGGATTATCCTCACACCTAGTTCCCGATGTTCGCGCATGTATGACTCACACATCCGAGGTATAAATACACACGCCCAAACCCCAACCATGACACAACGACACCAGTTTTGGTTGAGCTCTGAAGTAAACGCTTGCGTCCACATCATCTCCCGTCTTGTCTTCAGGGTATCAGGGGAGCGTAATCGGGCCAGAGTTAGTTCCGTGGCCCCGGTGTGGTTCAGGACCACGTGCTGTGGCCCACGACAATTGGCGATGCCACAACGAACCATTGCAGTCACTCAAACTCCTCACGATTAAACAATCAGGCACTTAACCAATCGTCTCCTGCTAACTTTCACAATCTATCCAGATATTATTTGATGAAATCGCAGGCCTCAATTAGCCCTCTTCGACGATCACTTTTCGTGCATTCGCGCTACTCACGATCAACTCAACTCGCCCCTTAACAGCACACCGAGGCGAATTCACATTTGCCAGCATGGTTGTCATGGCGACGAAATCGGATTAGCGCCCTGTCACAGGGATTTTTACAATTTAACATCGTATCACTTTACGGTCGGGACGCCCAGATTTTGGAATTGATCGATTATAAGCACCGATATCGAAATAAAACGCCGGTAAATCTATCGGCCGATTCCATGCAAGTGCACCATTCGACAAACGGTCTGACCAATCAGAGAAGAGCTTGTGGCGTGTATTTAGCGTCTTGTTATGGCATGTCGTTGTCACAAGTGTGGCGCTATTAATCATAGGCCGTAGCCTGATGGGACCGTTAATAATTCTCTAGTTGCCAAGAGCGCATTTGTCCGTCTAAATCATGCAATACAGCCATACGGTTAGTGTGCTTGCGTCTGATTGGTGCAGAGTCGAAGTCAAGTAAGATAATTGACTGAGGAGATAGCTAGACCTCAATTTCTAGGCAACCAATGGCTGCCGGTTTTGGTAATCAATCTAAAAATTGCAGAGTTCAGAGCCCTAGTAGAACGGAAGAAGGTTTATTAACCAATCACGAGCCTGAGCAGTCTCAAATCTCTGATAGGCTGCTAATCTTCCTCGTTGACCATCCAGGCACACAGAATTAAGGGGATTGGTTAAGCCGTGCTTGAACCAAAATGTTTGACCTTAACATTGAGTAGTGCATTTTAGACTGCCGTGTGTTGCTTGAATTGCCACAGTGCGTTTAAATTTTATGATAAATGAAGTGCCGACATAGGATGCAGCCAGAGTGGATCACGGCAAGGGCTTAGCCAATCCCCTATGTCTATGTCTTTAAACAATCCTCGAGGAAGGTCAGAAGCCAATCAAAAACAAAGATGGGTGGGAAGAGTTTTGATTGGTGAATAGGACCTGCTCCGTTTAACCTGGCTTTTTCAGTTTACAGTTCAAAGGATTGAAGTCTTTGATGATTAGTGTGAAAGGAAGCGTTTGAAATTAATGAACGCACGATCTTCTGTCGAATTGCAGCAACAATTTAAATATCTACTTACTGATTCAAAATAAGTAAAGTGTAATTAGTCAGCGGCGTAAACGCAACGATGGGAAGTATCAATCTGGATTCTTAAATTCTACCTAGTATTTCCCCACGGGTAAACAGTATCAAAGGTCGTTTTTTGCGCAGTCACAACTGTGGACTTATTTGAACTGATAACAAAATCTACTACTGAAACGTTCGTGGAGGATTTTGGTGAATGTTAGACCCGACTTCTTCCTGCAGCAAATCGCCCACTGGGATGAATATAATTGGGTGGCGGTGACCTTGTCCTGGGTGTTCTCCTCCAATCAGCACCCTGTTCTCCTGCCCCTTTAATTGGTCCAGCCATTGACCTCCGTGTGCGGTGTCATATTTGTCGAGTTGCCATCAGCAAAAACTGCACGCTCATGCAGCCGAAACCTTCACATTAACCAACCAGACTTTTCTCGACAAAGCCAGTAAAATGCAAGTTTGTGCATTTGATGAGAAACCAATTGGAAGCCACCTATACCCATTGCAGAGATTCGCCCCAGTCTCGAATAATCAATGCGTCTACACCAGCTTACAAACACCAATAAAATGCTGAGTTAGCTTTCACTAATTCATCTTGTTTGTAAGTTATAATTTGAATTTTTGCAAAACTGTACAATAACCACAAAATTCTTATTCCGCCGTATTCAAAAACAAGGCCAATTTTAAATCATGGACTGAAAATCGTTGACGAAAGACGGCTGGCTGAGTACAATCCATAACTTCTTTTTAATTTGATCTTGAAAGCAGTTTATCTTGACAATTTGATCAATTACGGTCAGTTTCTGCGAAGCCAGTGACTTGCCAGACGTCTAGTTTAGCCGAAATTCGACCAAAATGACGCCGAATTCTAATTCGAAACCACCAATTAGAATCGCAAAAATTTTATTTCAGCAGTTTTGCTAGTTTAAAAATTAACCAAAAAACGATATCAAGGCGGTACATTTGTTTTACCAAACTGCCTTCTGCTAGCTGAGTTTTAAGGAAAAAAAGGAATTTTTTTGTTAAATATCATTTTCTGTGTTCTGACTCTGAATTCTTATTTAAAAACGCTTTTCTTCCGCATTTTAGGTCGTAGAAACTCAAGAATGTCCCTGTAAACAACCAAGCAGCCAAATAAACATATTTTGACTGTCTCAATCATGCAAATTCACACGGAATTCGGCATACCTGTGGGCAGTAAAGATTTAATGAGTGGTGTGTGTAACGTTTACGAATGGACACCGCCGCATTACAGACTACCACGAGTAGAGCCAAACTGATACACTGCCTTCAGAGAATAGGCCAGACCAGAGTGACATTTTACAATGCCACGCCGAAGTGTGGCAGTTAATTTCCCTATTAAACACACACCCACCCACACACACACACATTTAGCAGCCAGCTAAGTGTGAAAATTCAAGAAGGGTGCTGCTTTTCAACGCCAGAACGCCTCTACGGATGGCAGGATTTCGGTCGCAGATTCGATCATGGCTGATTGTCTCGACTCAGACCTCCTGGTGAGTCATCTGACCCCAACTCACATGTTGACCTCAAAATTCGCCTGTAAAATTAAACGGCTCTCGCTAATCCTCTGCGTTAACACGCTGTTCACTCCCGCGACTGTTTTCACTCTGTTTAATCAAGCGCTGAACCTCCGTCAGCTCTGGAACGTGGTTGTAGTGGAAGGTGAGTTCTGTGGAAATATTAGATGTTCGTGTCGACGGTCAGCACATCACAAATGAACCGTTTGAAAGTGCATGTAAAAGATAAAAATGTTCGTTTGCCTTGCAGCTATTTGTGAGTTTTGAACAATGCGCCATCACCTACGTCAGTAAAACACCACTTTTGGCGGCAAAAATTGCGTTTAAAGTGTCAAAGGCACCAAACGACTCCAATGATAACACGTAAACTGGCGTCACAAGTGAAAGTGAATGTTTGAACGCTAAGAACTCTTGGAAAAAAACTCTCAGGATGCGTCAGGTCATGTCGGCGTTCGTCTTGCTGGCGGCATCTCCACTGACGTAACTGTGGAAGCCTGTTGAAGGTTGCGAGGTATTAGAATGACCGAAGTCATCGCGCTTCGTTTGAATGACTCAGATGATACTACTGACAACAGTCAGTAGTAAAACTGTAAACCGTAGAACCTCACGTCGGAGACAAGCCAGTTAACAAGAGAGTCCAACAAATTTGCTTGTGTATGTGACGAGTGTCGATTTAATTCTTTTTACATTTCTCTAAACTGATTTGTTTTTCCGATTTCCGTTTGTTCTCTGTGGCCTTTTACCAGCGTATTCTCTACTTTCACACACAAATTGTCGAGGTGAATTAGGGTTTGAATTACCGAAAAAAATACGGACACAGCGTGTTCTTGCACACCCAGACACACTCGTAAAACACGCGAACAATAAATGGTAAATAATTAATTCGGCTCTTTTTTAGTACAACCAGAAGAAATCGTCATAGTGGTGGTGGTGGTGGCCTGAGCTTTGACGCATTTTGCAGGTATTCGAAGCCCTTTTTTTTTAAATATCTCAAATCAAGCAGCTCAGAGCATTTTATCAATACCTCGCGGTAATCAATCTGTGTTCCTCCTGTGGCGAATAGCAAGCCAGCACAGTTTGCAGGCGCGAGCGAACACAAATCAATCGATTTTTTTCGTTAATGCAGCCACCGTGCGCGTGAGTACTGCGTGTATACCTGCCCGACTGTACCAATGACTCACCCTCTTTGTTATTGATTTTTGTTAGCCGTCGCCTGTAACGCACGCGTATCGATGCACACACACAGTAGTTAGTTAATCGATTTTACGCGACTCAATTTGACTGGCGTGACGCGAATAAACGGTCATGTTCTCTTTCGACGCTGTCTTTTCTCTTCTTGGGTTGTGACCGGCTGTTAACCATAGGGTTTTTTGGTAGCGATAATTTAGGCCCCCACACTCCAATCAGGACGCGAGACAAAATCTTCTTGGTGTCGGTGTGAACATTTTAAGGCTCGGTAAAGTTAATTTGTACAAGTTTAAAAGAAATCGCAATTTACAAAGCATCTGATCTTCGGTTACCTTGTGATATTTGGATATTTAAAAGTATTTAGCCTCCACTGCGTAATCGACACCACCCACAAACCTGACCTTTTCTGTTTAAATGGATCAAAACGGACAAAACTGGGAGTTTTGCGCAAAAATTGCACTCTTAGGAGGGTTTGTAGAACACAAAAACGCGTGGCCAATGAAATGGGGAATGTGAAAAAAAGCTAAACCTGAGCCACAAGATGTGGTGGTTGGATAATTGCTTTGATTCAAAATTTAACTCCAAGACAAACACTTCCCTCCGTAAAACGAAATACGTTTGAAAACTCGTTCTAACGTGTCGAAGAGTACAAGCGATTCGTGTCATTCGTAAAATAGTAAGCCATGTTTGTCTATTGACAGATCTTTGTTTAAATGTTCACTTAAGAGACCCGCGTCTACGAAAATGGTCTCTATCAAAGTCTGTAGAGAAACGCGGATTCACTTGCGGACTTGGCACTCCAGCAGATTCGAAGCTAGAAGCCGTCAAGTGGACACATAGCAGCTTCCCCTTAGAATACCGAATCCGCTCTCCGAATTGAATCAGACACAGCCGAAATAGCGGCTATTTAAAACAACCAAACAAGCAGACATATTCAGTTTGCATATTTAATGTCTCTACTCACGCTACTGCACCCAGGCACATGTTTTGAGCGAATTCTCGTGAAATCCAAAGTTTCTAATTATGCAAATTTTCCTCTTGTCGTGAAACAGATAATCTTGTGATTTCAATTCCTATTCACGAAATTCCACTACCAACTTGGTGCTGCTAAAATTTGAAGACGCAACCTTGAACAAATGGCACGCCTAGCTGCGGTTGATCGTGTCAATTACAATACCGAACAGTCAGATTTGAAGGACTATTTATACGTTGAGAAAACTGCAGCAATTTAGTTAAGAACTTTCTAAGTAACGGTTCTACGAGATCGCAAGCAAACAAGCGGGATATCGCCACTTTAATCCTGATCAATTAAATCAACAATGAGAATTCAAATTGAAAATGATAAATATATTGATGGTGTAAATCAAATCATGTGTGCGTCCTTCATCAAAGGTTAACATTTTACCAAGCAAACATCAATATTCAAAGTCTTTAAGTTTCATTTCCAGGCGTAGTCATGGCAACCATCAGAAATAAAGGCGATCTTATCAAATTTTGGAAATTAATCATGCCATTAGACTCTCATTTTTAAGCTATCTGATAATGAGGGAAGATGTATTCCATATTACTCGTACCAATTTTCTACTTGTGCAATTAAACCCCTAGAAAGCGGCGCAAAGACACGTCAAACAAGACGTAGGTTACGTTTTTTTAACTTGAATTAACTTTTTCTTTCAGTTGACGCAAAAGCAAATCAGGTTTCTCAAAAATATTCAAGGTATTGAATGGTAGCAGCGCATACCCTCCAAGTTTGTTCTAATTGGTCGAAATACTTGGTTTCTAACTAATGGACGATTTCAGCTCATGTCCTATTGGCTTGTAGTAGCTAGAGTTTCAGCACTACCTTACAAACCTCTAGTTAACAGCCCGTATCAACCCGAGAATGGTATGAAGAGAGGCGACAGAGGACACTACCGTTTATTAGCGTCACGCCAGCCAAGCGTGTGAATGAGTGTGCGGATGACAGGCATCTGATAACAGTAACCAATGAGATGGGGATGAGTCATTGTCATCGTCAGATCAATAGAAATGGTTCACTCAGGAGCGACCGCTGTTAATCCACTACAGACTGGTGGTTCAGACAAGTGATTGATCTTGCCGCTTATTATGTGCAAAATATCTGTGAGAAGTTTATATCAGAGTGTGTCAGCTTTAAAATTCGAAAATAGGCGTGGCCATTTTGCAGTTAGTTTAAGTGTACTTGCCTTGAAGTCGGAAAAAATGACTGAATCAGTTTGTTTTACTGATTCAATATGCTCACAGGGCGGCCATTCAATTTTTGCTCAGTCAGTGAGTAGTGCTCAGCGCCTGCAATTCTAGGTGAACACAACCCCACTAATTTGCACTTATTACTAGCTGTAAGGTTAGAATTATTGGTGAGATCGATAAGTCTGATTAAACTATTAAACCAGGCTGTCTGTACCCTCGAGGGATTTGTCAATTTTAAGCACTTCAAGACAGATGTTATCGCAAATACATTGTTTGATTGACACGATGACAGTAACAAGATGAGTTTAGTCCAAGTGAGTGACGCAGATTGTAAAGACTTCGAAGTGGACGTTTTGACTCTACGTCGCAAGGATCGGACAGACATGTCCAATAGGCGGGTAATCATTTACCATTTCGGGTTTCCAAACTCCATTTTGCACTAATGCCAACCAACCACGTGAGAGATATGTAGGTCCGTTTTGAATAGTTCAGGAAAGACGATGATCTCTGTTGGGTGGGGTTATTTGAGGCGATGATCCTCCTGTGGAATAGGCTTGCTCACAAAGGACTAAGAAGCGTGTAATCAAATTCACCACAGGATGAGTCAGCTGATCTCGACTGCGTCATTTTCTTTCGTCGTTTAATGAACTGGGTCCATAGAGGGATTATGAAGACCAGAGCCGATGGAGACACGACTTTTCCCTCCATGGTACCTCACTTGCATATCTGACTCGCCGTCATCGACGATACACAGGCCCGTTTCTGTGTTTTTAAGGTACTCCACCCAAAGAATGATTTTTCTATCCAATGAGAACCTCGCATTTTGTGGATTTTGTCTCTCATGTCTAAATTCGCAGTTTACATCAGAAGCTGTGCGTACTCGTGCTGCGCATCTCGAAATTAACAGAGGCATTGCGTTTTTTCATCCTTGAACGAGACAATTTACTTTCATTTCATTGTATTTCACAAGTAGAGCAGTACACAAACTCCGTGGTTGTCGAAACACCCTACTGGATTTATAATTAAGGCCTGCGACTGTGCCGCCCTCAAAATTAACTCTCACATTAGGCGGGACAAAAACTGCATAAACAGAAGTAACTCAAGCATTAGACTGTAATTTCGTGCGAGATTCAGACACACAAAAACACGTTAAAAATGCGCGTTTTTAATTAATTAAGAAAGAGCAAATATTGCCAAATAAAACAGCGCTTTAAAATACCCAATGCTTGGAATTAATGTGATAGAACGACCAGTTAAATTCGCAGTTGAAAGTTGGAGAAAAACCGGCCCCCAAAAGCAGTTCTAAAGTCATCTGCAACGCGTCTTAAACGATCAACAACATCTTAGACACCACAATCAGTGTGTGTCAATGCATATTACAGGTAATTCTGCTCATCGTGTGCATCCTAATCACAGCTTAATAAGGAAATGGGGTGATAATTTTTGATTATGACGATACCATTTTTGGCTATGGGGTTCCATTTTTATTTCCGCCGCTTTACAAAACTTGATTTTTGACCAATATCTCAGTGATAATGTGTCCAACATTACATTACAACCATCAAGCACAACGTGAATGATGAAAAATGAGTTAGAAATATATTTTCCACAATTTTTTCCATACATCCGCCAAGGTCTCGTGGGAAGTTGGCTACTCAATTCCACTGAGACTGACTTGTTTCGTTGTGATTCTGGAACATCCAAACGAGTTTTCGTTTGTAGCAAATTCACGCGATATTTTTATGCCAGGTTTAAATGAAGTGGCAATCGTGCATGCAAATGACACAACCGTTCGCCAATGATCTCACAGTAGCTGAGATCATGAGTAGGGACAAGATAGAGTCTACATAAACGCAGATTGTTGACACTCAAATTCAGATCAGCTACAAACACGTGAATTGAAGTGATGGCTGAGGAGACCAAAGTGGTGAGTCGACGGTGTTGAGGTAGGCGGTTGTCCAGGGGACGCGCACCACGACTGGCCTCACGTCATGCACTGTCACACATCTAAGGAACACACATTAAGAAGTGCTGTCCTTGATTTAGCCTGTTTGACAGGACCTTGCTGTCACCTTTCGAGGTTACATCTCCCCCTCCCAAACTCCCCCTCGTCGCAGCCAATCATTTTCCCCACAAACTCAAGCTGGTCAATCAGCAAACAGCCACATCGACATGCGTTTCGGCGCACACCATTCAAACACCTCTTCACCACTCTTACCAACAAACACTCCACCGTCTTGCCAACACCACATGGAGAGAACCTCCATTGTCACAATGAACCAATCATCGCACAGGAATCCACCGGTCCCACTATCCCATTGGATAGATTTTCACATCACGAGGACCCACATGCCAATGCTCCGTGTGGTTGCACTCTCCATCCACACTCCATCTTCCCATCGACTCGCCTCCTCCAGTCCTCACTTCGCCTGCATTTACACCGACCACGCATCACTTCCGATGTGACCGTGCAAAGTGGGGGGTGGGGGCGTTGGCGTGGGCGTTGGGGTCGGTAGTGTCCCCGCGTCCAACGATGTCACGAGCACATTACCGGACATGCCGAGACGTTTTATTGTTTCTGCTAATACGACGCCACGCACGGCTGCAATAAACGCGGTATCTGGTTGCATGCACGGCGTCAACGGCAATGTCGGTTGGGGGCGAATTTGGCCAGTGTCGCTGTTGCCAGACGCACACCCCCACCAGGTGAGACGACAGCAGGCGCATGTAGTGGTACTCACGCTTGCCTTTATCTCAATTTACACTCGCATCCCTACTACAATGCCAGTCGTGTTGTTCGCTATTGGGGAGAAGCCAATTACTAGCATCAGCGAAAAGTGTGGTGCTCACGTCTGCAGTTAACCAATGCTCTATTTTAATTGGGTGCAAGTGGTGCTTAGAATTGAGAAAAAATGAAATCCCAGAATTGTGCACTGACGAGGGAAGTCAACTTGCAAATACACCGTGGAAGACGATGTCCACGATAACACACAACACCTTCGAATGAGATTGGTGGCACGGCTCAGAGGCTAAGAGCTGACGCAAGTCAAACATGCTTAAATGGTTGTCACGTAGTTAGTCTTTTCCGTGTGCACCATGTCTCAGAGAGCATTGTGTGCTCACAGTTGCAGATCACACCTCGGTGTGGCAGAACACTTCAAGCTCTTTCACAGTCTGCCCTCAACCCAATTAGATGGTGGGCATTTGAGTCAGACTTCGACAGAGCAATGCGCTTTGGACGCGTGCAACAGGTCATTCAACGTGCCGACGGCAAGCAGTATCCGAAGGAGACGGTCACGTGCTGCCACAAAACAAAATCGCCGAATCAGACACGTGGTCATATTCAAGCATCGTGAGTTCAACCACACAGTCGTTGTGCATTCGTGTGAATACAGCCAAGCTTCAATCCCACTACAATCCTACTGTTTCATTAACTGATCACCTTCCTCTATACTACGTCATTTAAACGTGATCTCATTTACAGTTGAGACGGTCGATATATAGTTTCGAAAATTGCGGCCTTAGACACATTGATTGGGTTGTCGCCGTTCACGTCCAGACACCTGCTGGTAATCAAGACGGTCGTTTGAAATGTCTCCACGATTCAACTTCTTTGAAACAAACATGTTAAAAAAGTTAAATCGAAAATCGGTGCAGTGCATTGGCTCAGACCCTTTCTACGGCTGACGCGATTGGTTGAAAAAATGCCAGGAGGACATTGATTGGTTGGGAGCTAATGAAGTGTTAAACTGGCCACGTCTGAGAGTTCGGTGGATTCATAATCTACTAACGAGTGAGCCCAAATCAATAATCTACAGCACAGAGTAGACTAATTCCACGATTGAATTGCCTCCGTCAAATTATGCTGTCGAAAATCTGGTTTTCAGAAACAGGCTTTCATGAGACTCAATGTTTTGCTCCAGCTGCGATGGTCATTTACAGGCAAACGACTTATCAAAACGATCAAAAAACAGTCGGTTTTCGGCAACATCGACGATAATTTAACCTGCGGAACTACGGCCGAGTTGCCTTGTGTTTTTGTTTCTGTGATTGTCACAACCCACAACCAGTTATCGGTAAATCACACTGCTCTACAATATGCTTCGCAAAGGCAGCATTGAGGCTGCAATCTAAGACAAGGTCGGGCTGCCTGTCACATTCATTCGAACAGATTTTATCAATGTGGTGTTGTTGTTCGGTGTGCACGACCACTTCTTGCCACAATAAAGTAAGCATTGCCATTCTTCCGGCCTCAACTGCTACAAACTTAGTCATTTCTGAGGCTGGAAGCGGAGATTAGCGCAATCTGGCTCAAAACAATAAACAACGGCAGCGGAACTTTGATGAAAATGAAGCACAGCCTTATCTCTTCTGTCGCCGTGTGACCGTGCACTTTCGACTTATGCAGAAAGGAGATTGTCACGGAGATAGAGGGCTTAGTGGGAACTAGTTATGTGCACTTTTCACTAAGAGATAAGTGACCTCATCGCCATTGGTTTACACTCCTGAAAGGTTTGATGAAAAGATCTTAAAAGCATGATTTGATTGCAAAAAAAGTTTCCCTTTGCGTTGATTTGACAGGTTCATAATTACGTAAAAGGGTGTAATTTTGCCAGTGTTTTACTCGTACTTCCACAACCCGGATATTTCAAGGTTGAAATCCTCTGAAATTGTGTCATTACAGACATCTGCACTGACCACTAGTAGCTCTACGTTCGGAAAACGAATTTATTCATCGTTTGGGTAGATTTGAACTGGGAAATTCCATCTGTTGAATTAAATTAGCGCATGATCAGGAATTGTGTTTGATTGAAGCCTGCTAACTGACCTGAAGGTGTCAATGACTCATCTAAATTTCATTGGTTACTGTTATCAGTCGTTTGGCACGTGCTAACTCATCCAAACACTAACACAGACGTGGCTGGCGTGACGCTGTCTTGTCCCTCTCTCCGGACTTTATAGGGACGTTTAACTAGAGGGTTACAAGGTAGTGCTAAACTAAACCACGACAAATGGTTGGAAATGTGACGCGCGGCATTCGACCCACGCACGCTGGTCTGGCTTGTTCTTTGTCCCTCTCTCCCTTCCCGCACTCTCGCCTTCCTCAAGGCACGCCTGTGAGTCCGAGGGCAACGCCAACCCTCCTCGCGGCCATCCCTTTCCCCACTCTAACTCTCCTTAAGGTCTTGCCCTCTGAGTTTGTATACGGTAGTATGGAATACATCCGGTTCTTCCAGCTATTCTTCTATCGTGTGCCTGGTAGCTAACCATGATGGTGTGGCTACCTAAGAGGGACGGGCTAACAGTCGTCCCCCTATTTAGGTCCCCGCTCGGTAGGCGCGTTACAGTTCTTTTGAACCTCACGAGAAAGTATCAGAAGTGCCTCTACTGAATTCGTCAATTTAATTTCAATTATGCAGTGCCAAACCACTAGAGAATCGCGATGATTCACACTAGTTAATCTGATCACTCCACCCTCGACACAGGGTTTCCCTTTTCGCAGCATGTCGCTAGCCGCGCGGACCCTCAACTGCCTCCCCTCGTTCGCACGAATATTTATCTTGGATTTTCCTCACACCTAGGTCACGATGTTAGCACATCTATGACTCACGCATCCGAGGTATAAATACACACGCGCAAACGCCACACACGACACAACGACACCAACGTGGTTGAGCTCGGAAGTAAACGGTTGTGTCCACGTCCTCTCCGGTCCTCTTCCCAGTCTCTGTTACCTCACTTAAAGCCTGTCTGAAGGGGTCTTCATTGTCGTGCCTACACTGTTGCAATGTCGTGAGTTCTCTACAAGCCAGATCGAGTAACTAAGACTACAGTATTAATATACTAATGCTGAATTCCTGCATTCAGACAACACGGTGAGTTCGATTGGCCAAACAACAAAGATGGCTGCCCGTTTGCGCATTTGCCAACGTACCAAGCGGCCAATGGTGTCTGCTTTGTCGTACGTTGAAGGTAACAAACAGGCATGGTTTGCAGCAAAATGTTTTGATTTGCATTCAAACAAACGTCCACCAGGGTGGAATGAAGACGAGAAGGTTTGAGGAAGTCAAACAGACGTCACTTGATGTAATGGCAACGTGGTAGAGAAGGGTTTGTGTTGATGAGTTGGTGGAAGGAGGAGTAGCACAAGTTACTTATTATTAATAGGCGTTCAAGCTGGAAGTGAGGTGACAGTCTGCGCCTGCATGTTAAGTGGAAAGCAGACGCCTTGTGATATTCACACGAATGCACAACGACTGTGTGGTTGAACTCACGATGCTTGAATATGACCACGTGTCTGATTCGGCGATTTTG